CCCCCCCCCCCCCCTTTCTCTCTGCCCAACAATGGACTTCCACATGGAACGTAGACGACATACCTCCACCTTTGACTGCTTGCACTCTCTTTTTTTGCCCTGATGAGCACGGAACAAAATAAACTATTGGAGTTCAGACAGCCCCATTATCGTGATGCTAGCGGCAGCAACAACCGGCAGAGCGTGTGGACTACCCTCCCTGCTCTTGGGCCCTCTCAAACTCAAGGACGCCACGATCCCGGCAAAACCTTCTTGCGTTCTTCAACACATGCCCTATACCATAAGCCTTGATTCTATTGCTATGTATGGGTGCACAAATACGCTGGGTCAATTGTGCACATGGACTTGCTTCATTCAACGGTTCCGAAAGGGGATAACCCGATGCCATTCTTCCCTCTTCGGTCTCTTGTTCGATGTCCACCGTGCTCCGCTATTCCATAGACTACGACGGCGGCGACTGCTGTTCTTGCACCTGCCAGGTACGCGAGTCTGTTGTGTTGTTTACCCATCTGTCGGATTGGTTGGCGGAAATTTCGCCACAAACCGGACCGTCATGGGTTTCTCTCTGTGTCTATTTCCTGAGATGCCATGTAGATTTCCATCACCGGCTTCCATTGCCAAGTTGGTTGTTTCTTTTGAAATTCTTCCTTCTGGCCAGGTTCCGGATGATGGCACTGGCGATGACGGTTCCCTCTGCGGCGAATCCGCCGTCTTCGCTTGCATCGATCCCGACGCGCCATGCGTGAACGACGACGACTTTACGGCCTTCTTGCCGGAAGTCGTGAAGGAAACCTGCGGCGGGTAGGATATTGACGGCCTTGACTGTCTTTACAGCCCTCACACCACAAGAACGCTCTTGATTTCGGTCATGGAGGTCGCTCGCAGTCGGGAACAACTATCATGTAGTACCGGCGTAGCATATCCACTAGTCGTTTTCCCTCCTGTTGTCTAGCTCGACTTCGTGTCGTGCCAATCTTTTGCCGATGTTTTCTCTGATCGCCTCCATTTGTTGCTGAGAAGAGCTTTTTGTCGTTTCAACAAAGGCTTGACAAGCTTGTAGGAAGATGTGAGCCTACGCTGGTTCGGGTATGACGATTTTGAGCTCAAGGGCTGAGTCTAGATTTGATTAACTTCGCCCCGTGCCCGTTGTTGATGTTTCGCTTGTCCGCGATTGTTGGATGCGTACCAGGAATATTGTCCACTTGGCAGATGGCGACTGTGATCAGATCAACAACAACGAAGAATGCGGTACGTTAGCGCTTAGCATTTCTGGTAGGCTGACACTTTCCACTCAGACAAATGATCGTGGAATAACGCGTCGACCACCCCCACGGCAACCACCGCCTTTGCAGGAAGAACAGACAAACATCGAAAAATATATATTTTTGGCCAAACTTGCGGTTTGATTTTCTTGCATTCTGTTTCAACTAAACTCATCCGCCGATTACTCCATACCAGAGTTACGATACACTTGAGTGGGCTAGGACCTTCCCGTGACTTGCCTGGTATAGACCAGTCGAATAAGGAGGCTGTCTACATTGTCTCGGTACAACCGTGTTGAACAGTCTTGGAGGGTAACCAGGGAACAACAGACTGTCGACAGACATACAGCCAAATAACCCAGGAAAATAATACTTTGTTGCTGCAGAGATTTTACGTATACGCCCGAGGGCATCGATCGTGACTCGCTGGCGCCAATGCTGCTCTTCGTCCAAGCTGGACTCTGCATAGCAGCTAGAGGCTGCTAGTAATGATGTATCCCTGCTTGACTGGTATGGATATGGTCTTGAAGTTCGTACGTGCGGCAATCGCTTGGAAGTAATGAGAACACACAATGTGGGCGCCTCGCCGGACGAGGCTTGGCGATTGGGCGGGTCGGAGTTGTTCTGTGGATAACGGAAGAAGAGAGGGGTGTATAGTGTTTCCGATGTCGCGTGGGAATAGGTTCCTTGAAGCGAGGTCACTACAAAGTTGAAATGCACTTAGTGATTACGTGTTCTCGCGATGATCCCTCAAATCGTGCAAGCCTTCGAAGTTTAGTCTGTCGAGGTCTGTTACTAACGTGTAAGTGACGCTAGCCTCACTATACAAGTCTGTGAGTGGGGTGCACGTCGGTGGGTCCTTCTGGTAGCTCGCATCCCTCATTCTTGATCGGCCCATCAATGTCTCTCGTCGTTCGTCGGCCGCCACAAAGGAATGGGTTGTCACGGCAACCTTCCTTCGAAACCCGTTCGGAACAACTAGACTAGAGAATACCACCAAAATGCTTTTATGAGATCCGACCTGTTTCCAGAATATTTATAGCCCGTGTGTACAGGGTCACCCGGAGTGTCAAAACCCATGTCTGATTTCGTTTTTGGAATATTGTTGCCTCTCGTTTGCCCCTCTTCTCCACCGTTCAATTCACCAGGCTACGATGGCGGCGATTGCTGTTTTTGCACATGTTTGGTGAGTATTTCGTTAATATCGTTGGGTCTTTCTAGGAAGTAGCTGGTAGGCTTGTCGGTACAGCTGTATTCCCCGTTCTCTCAATGCTCTCGAGGTCTTTGATACGTCTCGGCTGGTACCTGGACCTTGGCAGCATCCACTCTTTACGAAGAGATGTTGGAAGTACCTTCTTGACCTCCTTGCGCCTACCGTGTCTTGCATGAGAGCAAGACGTACACCGACTGTCTTTGAAGCAATCGAAGCCCTTGGTTCGTGATTGGTTGTTGGTGCGCCTTCTGCTAACGTCGGAATTGTGTTGAATTTTGTTGACACGTCTCCTTCGTTTGGTGGCATTCTTCAGCAGTGGTGACATTGTCCAATATCTATTTTCTCGTCTTCTCTTGTTGTTCTGCTTGCACGCCATTCCTTGTCTACCCAAAGGATGATTTCTACGAGTGCGGCATCAGAGGCTTCGCCTGCATCGACCCGAGCGCGGAGTGCGCCGACGACGATGATGTTACTGTCGACACGGTCGAAAACTGTGGCGTCAGGTATGGACGATCATATCGCTGTCCGTGACGTAACGACGATAGAAAAATACATCACCTAACCCGTACATCAACACAACCACCAGATGGATTGTTGTGCGACGTCTGTGTGTTCTGGACACGTGATTTGTCTCATACCGCCTCTGTTGGTGCTGCTCATGTTGCTTGTGTTCGCTGTTTGTCTTGGCACTGCCGTATATTCGCAGAAGCATTGGCGATGGCCAGTGTGACCTCGACAACAACAGGGAGGAATGCCGTAAGTGCTGCAGTCGGTGGGGGTTTAAAATATTTCACCATGAATGAAACATATCGTACGCGCGGCACGTGCGTATGCGTTTGTCTGCATCTTACGAACGCAAACGAGAACATGAGAGCCATGGCAATGCGAGAAGTTTGGATTTCATACCTCCACACAGGCCAACTCATGCACACCTTCGGTGTCTACCGTAATTTCATGCGTGGTGTCGTTTCAACCTTAGCTCCGAGGGCTCAGGGATAGGCTCTTCTTGGCCTTTGAGCCCTTTCTGCTCTATTTCACTGCCTTTCCCTCCTCACCTACTTTCCTGTGTCGGGGGATTTCGGTGGTGTCTCTCGGGTATCCTGCTCTCTCTGGTCCTATCAATGGTCTTGAACGTGTACCGTGAACCAGATGCGCCTGTTGCCACTTACGCCAGTCACAACAACCGGGGGGCGTGTAGCGGACAATCGTTTCGAAGACGAATCACCCCTGTTTATTGTTTTTCTTTCGAATTGCCTTTTTGCATTAATGTTTTCTCTTCACACGCGGGGAAGAGAGAGAAACCACGCCGACAGAACACGATTCCTGTAGACGCCCTCTGCGCCTGTCCTACCGTGTCTCTGTCCATTCATTCTACTGTCTCTCTCTCTTCCCAAAGAAAACAGCCCGGGGTTTCTCATTCCACCGGTGTGGGGAACTCTTCCTACTGTACGGAACATCTCAGACGACCAAGTTCCCAAATGGTACTCTACCATTTACTCTACCCGTTGCATTCCTTCCGTTCCCTCACCTTCGAAAGAAAAAGGGTGGGTGGGCGGGAAAGAACGCAACTTCTTGGCCTCCCAATCTGGCCAATCCTTGCTATCCCTCTCTGAGTTCACGTACTGCTGTTGTATAAATCTGCTATTCCACGCTGTCCAGCGAGCCTTCTCCTGCACGTGAACTCTCCGATAAAGTGACCATCCCAAAAGGACTCTTCTCAACCTGATACCCCGAAATACAGGAACAATAACGCCTCTGGCAAATTCGACCGTTTCAATAAACAGTAGTCTACATCGGCTATATCTGCCTCACCAAACTTGCTATTTCTTCTTGAGCACTCCCTCCATCGACGAAACCGCNCCGGGGGGCGTGTAGCGGACAATCGTTTCGAAGACGAATCACCCCTGTTTCTTCTTGAGCACTCCCTCCATCGACGAAACCGAGACCATGACGGAATCTTCGTGCTGTTTTCAACCAATGCTCTGCACGCTATGCCTTCTTTATCTCACTATGGGCATGTGCTGGATCAATTGTGCGCGGTCGCTTGCTTGATCGGTTCCTACAAGGGTTACATCACCAGATACCTCTCTTCTCGTTTTGCTCTTTCTTCGATGCCCACGATGCTCCGCCTATTCCACAGACTATGACGGCGGTGACTGCTGTTCTTGCACCTGCCAGGTATTCGAGTGTGATGTGTCCGTCACCTACCTGTTGGGTTTGATTGCGGTAAATCTTGCCACAAACGCGACGTACTGGGTTTGCTTGTGAGTCTCTTTGGTAGATGATGGCATGTAGAATTCCATCATCGGCTGCTATCGCCAAGTCGAATGTGCATATTTGATGTCCTTACACCTGCCCAGGTTCCGGATGATGACAGCGGCGATGACGGCTCCCTCTGCAGCGAATCCACTGTCTTCGCTTGCATTGACCCTGACGCGCCATGCGTGAACGACGACGACATCACGGTCGACATGATGGACACCTGCGGCGGGTAAGATGTTGACGTCCCTGACGGTCTTTGTTTAGCGTGGAAACAACCCTCAAACCCCACGAACCCTCTTGATTTCATTCGTGAAGGTGGCTCGCATTCGAAAACAACTACAATAGTTCTCGGGTACCACATCCACTCCTGGTACGTTGACTTCGTGTGATGTCAATCCTTTCCCGGACAGTTTCCTGCATCGCTATCGTTTGTTGCTGACCAGTGCTCCTTGTCGTTCCACAAACGGTTTCACGCTTTCAAAGATGTGAGCCTACAGCTGTTCAGGCATGAGGGTTTTGAGCTCATGGGCTGGTTTGATATTTGTAAACACTGCCCTTCGCCTTTTCCTGGGTTTTTCGCTTGCCTGCAATTCGCACGGCCAACATCGCAGACACCCCATCAATTTCGGAGATGGATGGTGTGACGACGACAACAACAACAAAGAATGCGGTACGTAACCCGTATGCACGTGATCGCTGGAATGATACAAAGCCCGCCTCCACCACTACTGCCGCCTTAAGCAAGAGGAGTCACCTGAACCAAACAGTGAAATATTTCAGCCGTTGATATCGTCGTTTGTTCTACTTGCAGAATCGAAGCAGACAAGTCTTGATCCGTATTTTACTCACCTTGGCCATGTTCACGGATTCGTTGCGGATTGCGACGTACCCCTGATTGGAGTGTTTTGAACCTGTCGAATGCAAAGGGTTTGAACCATTTCCCGGTACAACCAATCGAGCACTATGGCGGGTGAAGGCCTGTTTCTGCGAATCACATACTGGCATGCGCAAGACTTGCGGCCAAAATATCCCGTGTACCGAAAATATTCAAGGGTTATTGCAGAAGTCATATTTTGGCGGGCGCTAGGGTTGCAGCCAGCGTAGGAAAAAAATACTCCGTACATGCAGCGCTCATGCATGGGCGGGTCCCTGGCGAAGCGTGGCCATTGGAAATTTCGGTAATTGTTGGGATGGCGGGCAAGCGGACTAAACGATGGCGTGTGGGTTGAGGTTAAATGAAACGATCGACGTGGGCCTGGGGAAACAATATATTGAGGTCAAACGTTAAAATTGATTGATTCTTCTCACAACGGGCGCTAGAATCATGCAAGGCTTGGTATTTTTTTTTAAGGGTTGGCGGTGCGTGTCGAACTACAGCACCTCTGTTAGAATACGGCAGTTGCTCGTTGATTTCTCGCATTATTCAGTCTTGATGGGCGACAAACTCTCGTGGTTTCTACGTGGGTGGCCACAAAACTATGAGGTGTTCTACACAGCGACCATCCCTCAGAACCCATCCTACCCGCAAGGTTGTATCCCTAGGTCCGAGCTCAGAAATCGTCCACGTGTGCGTATTGACCCACGGTTTCCCTCTTTTTCAACCCCTCTTAACCATGTGTTCTTCATTTTTCTTAGACGCCCCGTGTCCGAATCAGATATGTGACCCGGTTATACTTGCGTTGTTCCGGCGGTCCGCCTCCCACTCCGCTCGATTCCTCAGGCTACGACAGCGGCGACTGCTGTTCTTGCACGTGTGTGGTGAGAATAACTTGTATCTCTCGATTCCTCAGGATTGCCGATACAGCTGTATTCCCCACCGTATCAGTCTTCACGAGGTCTCTCATACCTCTCAACTCTCAACTGTTAGTTGCAACTTGGAATATGCATGGTTACTANAGCTCAGAAATCGTCCACGTGTGCGTATTGACCCACGGTTTCCCTCTTTTTCAACCCCTCTTAACCATGTGTTCTTCATTTTTCTTAGACGCCCCGTGTCCGAATCAGATATGTGACCCGGTTATACTTGCGTTGTTCCGGCGGTCCGCCTCCCACTCCGCTCGATTCCTCAGGCTACGACAGCGGCGACTGCTGTTCTTGCACGTGTGTGGTGAGAATAACTTGTATCTCTCGATTCCTCAGGATTGCCGATACAGCTGTATTCCCCACCGTATCAGTCTTCACGAGGTCTCTCATACCTCTCAACTCTCAACTGTCAGTTGCAACTTGGAATATGCATGGTTACTAGTCTATGTATATGAAGAATTTTTGCAAGGATGTACCGTAAACATGTGCTTGAAACCAGCGTTCATACCCTGTGTGCTCTAACTTATGAGAGGAAGAATACACGGAAGGTCGATGAGGCGAGCGAATTCGTAGAAAGTTGAAAGTGGTGGTCGGTGGATATGCCTGTTCCCAATCACGCCGACATGCTCAGCAGACGCTCCAGTGAAATTGTATTGTTTAGAGGACGTTGACATTCTTCTTTTTTAGGTTGAAGATGAGGGAAGATTGAGAACGCGCAGTGGGAAGCTGTTGCTCTATTATTTCCTTGCCAACCCACCCCTGCCGTCCATCAGGATGGCACGTACGAGTGTGGCATTGTCGGCTTCGACTGCGTCGACCCGAGCGCGGAATGTGTGGATGACGATTATCCTTCGACCGGCGTCACGGACGATTGCGGAAATGCTGGGTACGGACGACCATGAGAAAATGATCAGAAATGCAGCCACCCTGGAGTTTTAGTGGAGATTGGAACGTGTCGGTTTTCGTGAATGAGAGAGTGAAAAATCAAACTTCTCGTCGGCGCGCGTTGTGAAGTCAAATCTACAGCGAGTGGGGTAGGGAGTAGTACGCGTGTTGGCTGCATCGCATGTGGCTCAAGCACAAGCACATGTCAATCTGCCAACGTCTTGACCGCAAGTTCTGGTCTCAATACTCATCGTCTTGGAAATCAACACAACAACCGGATCGTATCTTTGCCCATTTGCGTGTCCTCAATTGGTGGGTTGTGGCGTCCCGCATGGGGTGATACCGCTGTTGTTGCTGTTGTTCATTGCACTGTTGGAAATCAGCAGAACCGTCGCGAATGGCTACTGTGACTTCGACAACAACAAAGAGGAATGCGGTGAGTGCCACAGTCGGTGGAAGTACAACCCTCACCTACCAACAACAGCAGCAGCTTTTTGTCGTGTGCTTCCAAGATATTCTTCCACCAAGACTATTGCGTCCAAGATATTGTACGGTGTTCTATATCATCCAATACGCAGAATCATTCACAGCTTCTGTGCCTGTTCTACCATTACGCAGCGTGCATCGCCAAAAGATAGGAAAAAGAGAGAAAATATCTCCCCACGCTCTCCACGCACTCGGAAGCCAAGGCTGGAACAAGCATGCCTCTGGATCAGTTACAACAGTAGTGGTGGTCCACGCCAGTTTTTGGCTTGCCGACCGCGCCAACCCCCTCCTTGCCCGCAGGGAAGGAAACTGTTACAAGACGGCGGTTGAGAGTTTCCATAGTACATTAACATGCAGGTCATCAGTCATGCTCAAGGGTCGCGTCCTCTATCCAAAAGCACCTCTACACATTCCTCGAAACGCGCACGTCCGACGTCGAAACCCCATTTTATTGGACGTGTTCATGCAAACTCCGACCTGGACATTACTTGTTCGGCGAAACCATCAGCCTTCGTCTTTGGTTCTGTGATTGAGTGGTCGTCCCATGCTCAGGCTTCCTCCCTTCGCCATTGAGTAGCCATTGGAAAATGCCAGGACGCTTCGTGCTTTTCCAGAGACGACGCCAACAAGCCTTTGCCTTTTTGACCTGATGCGGGGTGAAGAACGCTGCCTCGAGTTATGCTGTGCCACTCAAAAGCAACGGTGATTGACCACGGCGATGTTCTCGTGGGGGCGTCATCCGTACGATCCCCTGGTGTATTACATTTTCATCGTCCACGCGCATGTAGCGGACCATAGAACCAGCGTGAAACCCACAGCACCTTCGTCTCGTTGATATTTGGAATGAATCTGGTGATACGTCACTCGTTTATTGTCGATGGAATCTGACGATGGTGTAGACCAGCAGCATGTAGAAAACCAATTACAACTAGACCCAGGACTCAGGCTGACATCCCCCTGGCGGAATACGACGATGTCGATATTTTCGGCTGAATGTTTCCATGGTAGTGTTATTGGTCCCTTGCTACCGGACGTTTAAGTCGTGTACCTTCGTCTCTCGTCCTTGTTTTTCACCTGCATTATCTTCCCCATGGCTCACATTGGTAGTCACCTGGGTGTGTCGATAGTTACGTCCCTCACTGCAACGATTCGATGACCAGAGTAGTTCAGATCGGTTTTCTTGTGAAGTCCTTTCCCTTCCCAATGATCTCTTCTGTTGCCATCCTCCCTCCCCTCGTCGGTGCTTTTCCTCAGCTTACGACGGCGGCGATTGTTGCGAGTGCACATGCGAGGTATGTGAATGTCTTGGAATGTGGTGGGCGCATTCAGGGGCTAGCATCTTGCAGTGTCGCCGCTCCTTCTCTGCCCGTGTTAACCTTGTATTTGCTGCACGTGCAATCTTGAACCACGGGCACCTCAAGTACCACTTCTACAGGCATGTACCTGTTACTTCCTGTACTACTCCCACTCTACCCGCCCTCTCCCCTTCCCGGAACAAGTGTTTTACTGAGTACGCCCGTCACGTTATACTATTTTCCAACTTTCGTCGGGACTTGCAGGACTTTTCTCGGTGCATGGTTTCCTCCTTCTCTTTTTTCGTCTATCGCGCACTGTCCCCTCTGGCTCAAGATCGATTCACGCCTCCGCGCTTGCTGCTCTGCGCGTGTGTCAGCCTTCCGGGCTTGAGGATGGTTCCGACTCATGCACCTCCGGCTTTGACTGCCAAGACCCGACCGCACCGTGCTTCGACGAGGAACCTACCCTCCCGGAAAAAGAGGATGACGATGGATCGATGTCTTACGATTTCTTGGACGAAGACGATCTACTGACCGTCGGTACCGATGCCGTTGAAGTCGGCACCAAGACTGACGTGAGCGTATCTGCCACCGCCTATGATACACGCCCCGGCTCGAGCAGCGGTGATGTGGGGTGCGGCGAGGCCGGTGGTAACGGTTGTTCGCCGGCGAACACCCGTGACGGCATCAGCAACGAGACCGAGTCCAGGTGGTCGTGTGCCTCGAAGATAGTGCCTGGCGGAGGGCCTTGCCAGATCGAGTACGTGTTCGGAGAGCCCCAGGACATCGAAGACATCAAGGTGGCCTTCTGGATGGGCGACGAGCGCGTCCGCACGCTAGAGGTGAGATAAGGGAGTAAGTACCACCAAGCGTGGGATATCACTGCCTGTACCAACTTGAACGAATCCCTCTGAAACGCAAGCACGTTTTCAGGACGAAATCCGCCCGAATACCGAGAACGAGGAGGCGAACATGGCCTCTGGCAGAGACACTCGACGACAGGACCCGATACTGTCCTGATTGAGACTTCTTGTGTAACAAATTACGTGAGGCTGCGACCGCTTTGCCGGTCCCGGGGCAGATGTATTTTTCAGGGATTTCCATGGGGCCATAAAAAAGGTGATGGGCGAGGAGGTCAGGCCTAATTTGAAAGGACCCAGGTTAGGTCAGGTTTATATCATTTTGGCTGAAAAACCGAACTGGTCAAGTCAGGATACATCGTTCTTGGACGAGATTTCACTGGTTATGATACGTGCTCTGCCTGTGAAGCGCGATATGTGTAGCCGAACCCGTGCGGAGATTCCCACGCGGTGTTCGAACAACGATAGTGACAGCTTGGCACCACACACTTCATAGGTGCTAAGACGCGGTATTTAATATATCCACGCCTGACACATTGCTCTTAGTTGAGGTGTGATTTGTTGCCCTTGGTGTCGACCCAAGGAGTGGTCAATCTCTCCAGTCGTGAAGATAATGTCGCCCTCAAAAATGCTCTCCCGTGCGAGGTGTGCTTTTCGCCGAGAAAAACACCGATATTGAGAACCAGGACAACCCTCGTATTTCTAGGCAAACGACGCTATGATCACGTAGCTCCTCATGTCTTCCACTAATCTGCCCACAAGCGGCGTTTAAGCGCATGCCATTAAACATCTTCACACACATACAACAGGTCTACTTCGATGGCACCCTGCACCGCACCCACGAGTCCTACGCCGGATCCACCTTCAACTCTCTAGGTGTCTCGGCCACCGGTATAGGCACGGTGATGCTCGAGTCGGTCGATCTGCTCGAGAACGAATGGATCAGTCTCATCGAGGTGAGTTCTGCCGTACATATCGAGTTACCGCACTCTCGAGGCCAACGTTCATCTTCCTTTCTGCAAGGCTGACCCCCGTGATATGATATCCATCATGGTGACACCGCGTAAGGTGTTTCCTACATAACTATGGTCGCAAGCCCCTTCCAACTTGTGCTTTTACAAGTTGAAAGGATGCCGAACTCAGCTGTTCAACGTTTAGGCTAAGGCAACTCCGCGGTTTCCGAGAGGCCCCGTTTTGTTCTGTCTATTTTCCGACCCGTCTAATAGTTTGAACTACAAGGGTTTGCAACACCGTAAGGATGCCGCCCGGCACCGTTTACGCCTCCAAGAGATGGTCAAAGTTTGTACAATCATTATGGGTTCAGACACCTCAGTTTTGAATAGTTGAAACAAGGCAACGAGAGCACATGTGGCCTCTTAAGCCAAGCAGAAACAGAGGCGCACACTGGAGGGGATGCCGCTGTGCGTGTGCGGTCGAAGCGAGCTTTAACAGCGCTATCCGGCTGGGAAATTCCATGACGTCATGTGTTTGGCGTGTCGAAACGCTGGGATATTTTCGAACCCGCACACCGGCTGCCGCAGGGGAAGTGAAGGGCTATTGATAGTGTCCGAGAAGTCATCGACTTGCTTGTATATATGTGGTTCTTGACTAGTGTTGCTCATGTCTCCAGCTGACTACAGTGGAAGGGCGCCAATTGGTTGCTGGACGAAAGACGTTATGACGCGTTGAAGCTATAGCAGCATGTGTTAAAACATCTCGTCCTTGCTTGGCGCACTGCTTGTAGCCTGTCACAAGAGCACCTCGCCGTTGTCTAGACAGCAATTCATTTCCACGACTTTACTGTCCGCTCCTGTCGAGGCCAGCGGTTGTATCAGGTGGTGTAGTCGAGGCTAGCGACGAAAACGGACGGTGTTGACGGTCAGGGAAATGCTTTCAACTCGTCCTCCCCGAACGGGCAGCCGTTTTCATGCGAAGACGTCTCGCCTCAGTCTATATCTGTCAATTTTTGTGACGGCGGTTTTTTGTTGGTACTTTGTTGGGGAATATGTGATACATGGGGTGTCGGGGTGCATAACGAAGTGAGCCAATATTCTCCTTGTCGGGAGGAAACTACCCGGGCCTGGCTTGCCAGATATGTCAATTTAATTAGGGAAAAGGCACTCCGTCATGAACGCCCTGCAGAGGCTGTTGTTTCATCATCTCATGGTCGTTTCGGACCCACCGTCTGGCCACTGGCGACACCAAGGTACAACAAGGGTTCCGCATCATGGGGCAAACGCAGAAGAGTGGGCATCAAATAGCATACAATATCCCGCTACCCCACGGCAAAGCACCTCCGTGAGTACGTGACCCACCCAAGATTTGCGGTTGCTGCATGCATCTTTCCCGCCCTAGAAATGAATACGCACGTGAGTATTTTTGGTGTCACGTGCGCCATACTGTTGAAACAAGCCAAATTTCCTATCGCTGCTTCCTCTTCGCTACTGTAGTCCCGAAATTGCCACTTCCTCCACGCCTTTTGCTTTGCTCCTTCCAACAGGTGATGATATTCGTTTCACCCTGAGCGGTCACGATGCCCGCGATAACTCCAACGCCTTCAAGCCAAGCCAAGCCAAGCTTGGCCGCCGCAGTGTGTGGTTTGCACGTCGCCCTTGTGCAGAGTAATAGGGCGTCCGTGCCGAGACGTTCTATGTGTAAATTATTTCTGTTGGCGCTGACGGCACGATGCTTTCGTGTTGTCGTACCCAAAAGGGGGTATTGCTATGCGGGGAGTCCTACCAACGCGGTGCAGCCTGATCGAGGGCTGGACATCCTTCTCTCCGATTCCGATTGTCTTACCGCTCAAACCGGCACGTACCGTCGGGTGCGGATACATGTAGCGCTCCACTCGCTGTGGAAGGCATTGATTCAGCATTTGTTTTCAGGAATACATAGTTCACGGGAGCGTAGCATACGTGCCGGGGATCGATCTCACGTTGCCTTGCTGTATTGTGAAGGGCTCTGGCCATTCAATCCCATTCGGTGTAAGTCGTGTGCCCTGCACCAGGTTGCTCATGCTTTGCCCCACGAAGTTTCTCTTTTTTGCATATTTTTGCAAGTGTTGTGGTGGGGGACTGGATGAATTCCCCCACCTCAACACCGGCGTGCGAAAAAATCGTTTCGCACTGCGCATTCATGTATGAGCAATGCTTCTCCCACCTATTCGTATCTCTTTGTACGGCGATGCTTGCGGTTTTTTTCCGGTCGTCTCCAAGGATACGTGCAGTAGTAGCTTGTCATATATTTTGGCACTACAGCAGAAACATGATACGTATTCGCTCAATAGAGGTGCGAGAATAACTCTCTCGGGTGTGTGTGCTTGTAGGTATTCATGCACGAACTCTTGGTATGTTTGGTTTGTGACCAACTTCAAAGTGGTCGCAGCGACGGGTGTTGAAGTGTGTATTTTCCACTGTAGTCCTTCGCTGAGTTGGATCATTGGGAGCTTTCTCTTGAGGACAATATGGATTTTGAGNTTCAAAGTGGTCGCAGCGACGGGTGTTGAAGTGTGTATTTTCCACTGTAGGCCTTTGCTGAGTTGGATCATTGGGAGCTTTCTCTTGAGGATAATATGGATTTTGATTTTTTGTTCACTTCTTTTGGCCCCTGTATCGGGTTAAGGTATGTATGTATGCAAGATGTGATAGAAATCAGAGCGAGGTTCAATGTGAAGACGTCGTAACAACACCATGTGGATCGACTCGCTCACCTGGGTAGACCGCCAATACCCCTGTCTCCTCGACAACGTTGCTAGCTGCTGCCATGTGACAGCTGCGTGTCTGATGGCCGGGTCGGGCATCTCAAACATACACTGTTCTCACCGATGATTTTGTTTCCAATTTCTACCGCCGGTTACCACTGTTTCAGCACCATATACATACAAATCTACGTGATACTGCAGTAATCTCGATGCTGGAAATAAACAAATTTCCACCGTCCCACATCCCGCCCTATTCGAGCGCAGACTATGGTGAAAGGTGCTCGAAACACCTGGCTCGCTCGTCGAACCACATTCTGGCCCCTTCCCCGTTGGGAGGCGGGGAACCAATACTGGCATTAGAAGCCCTGAGATTGTCACGGCACCATGACAAGAAATCTCATGCGCCACATGAAATTCTCACAAAGTCGCATGCGGGGCACGATGACGCACCGAAGGTGCGCCATGAGGATCATGTCATGGTTCATGGTACATACATAACTACATAACAACATGATGACGAGGTATCAAGAGGTCCCATGAGAATCATATGATGACTGACGCGACGAATACTATTTCTCTGAGTGGAAATGTTTGGGTGATGATCATTGCGAAGGTGTATGCGAAGGTGTACCGATTCAGGTAGAAGTCAATCGGCGGATACCCCGCGAATCGGGTTCTCCTTGACATTTTCCACCCACACAAGTGACCCTCAACTAGGAACCTCTTGTGGCCAGGATGGGTAATTCGATGGAAGTGTCACAAGGTTCTTTGCAGGATCGACTTCAAGAGGTGTTCTCAGGACTGACGCACGTTGTGTCCATGGGAAAATGTCCAAGTCAGGAGAAATAGTGTGCACCCAAGGAGATTCGAACCAGTATCCAGCTGAAGCCGTATGCGAAGGTGTGCCGATTCAGGTAAAAGTCAATCGACGGATACCCGACGAATCGGGTCCTCCATAACAGTAACTAATTTAATTTCTTTCCCCTCCGGGGAGGTGCGGGGGTGACCAATGTGTCCGGAATTTTTTTCCACGTGTACCGACACGGGAACTCTTCGTCCCCGACTAAGAACAGACGAAACGTCTTGGAGCCTGTTTTTTTTTTAATGGCGCATGTATCCAACTTGTGCACCGAGACAAGCANTTCGTCCCCGACTAAGAACAGACGAAACGTCTTGGAGCCTGTTTTTTTTTAATGGCGCATGTATCCAACTAGCGCACCGAGACAAGCGAACGCACGGAAAACCACGTCGCCATGAAGAGGGCTATTGGGCGGGATAGTTTCGGGAATGTTTGAAACCCTTTTGTCACGTGAACGGGCACGCTCCAACCTAGCAGAGAGAGAAAGAAAGGAAAAGAAAGCCATTTAGAATGCGGCCCTGTATGCCGTGACCNGAACGCACGGAAAACCACGTCGCCATGAAGAGGGCTATTGGGCGGGATAGTTTCGGGAATGTTTGAAACCCTTTTGTCACGTGAACGGGCACGCTCCAACCTAGCAGAGAGAGAAACAAAGGAAAAGAAAGCCATTTAGAATGCGGCCCTGTGTGCCGTGACTATTTCGCGACCACGTGGTTGAAACCCTCTTACGCACCATATGGCGGGGTCGGTTCTGCCACGATTTGAATCCCTTACCCCTTGCTGTATTTGTCTACTTCGAAACTAGTTGGCTCGGACTCGAACAACCACGAAGGAAACACGAACATGGGTATATGACGTCACAAAACCGATGTGGTGATGAACGTAAAAGTATGAAGCCACGTACAGCACCATAAAACACCAACGCTCCACACGTTCACTGTACGAACTCCGCATCGGGAATCGAACAAAATCGTCGTTCCACGGTGCGCGTCGCAACAAGGAAAAAACATATAGCCGGAACGAAGATGTTGGCAAGAAGTCGGAACCACCATGTTGACATACGCAAGGTTCATTTTGGCATGCGCATGAGGACATGTCGAAACCCTGGTCACCAAGAGAGGCATGCGTATCAGAACAAGCGAGGGTAGTAGACGTAGTTAGCCAGTCGAATGAAACACTCTCGACCAAAAATGGATGTAGCACCACGGATTACGAGTGAGACACCTGGGAAAACACATCGACGCGGGGCTGCAATGACGCTGGTAACCAGCAACTGCTATTGGTGCGACGCAGGGTCTAGCTGACGCACCGCTTAGCCCCCCATTGTTGGACTCGGCCATGGAGGAGCTCCCGTAGAACTCGGGTGGGTCTTCTTGCAAGTACTCCAGCAGAGGGTTGTCGTAGTCGTTTGGCGAGTTGAGAATAGCGCACGCAAGCTCCGAATGGCCCCGAAAATGGAACCTGTCGGCGTCCACCCGAGCGATATGCGCTCAACACGGGCATTGGGTTAGGTGGAGCTATGTGTTTGACGACGGTACTACATTCCACTTTGGAGTTTCGACACACTGCACACGTCACCCCCAATGCCCCGATAAGTACAACATAAAACGCCCGACCTGCCGCTTTGAATAGTTTACGTCGAGGGAGCACGCCCTACTTTACGCCGAGATGTACGTAGTATCTCTTTGCATAGCCCTGGGTTCTTAGGAAACACAGGCCCACGTGTCACATACCGGTCAACGATCAGCAGCGTTCCAACCCAGAACAGATCTCCTTGGCCGCTCAGGCAGCGGTCCAGAACGCAGGCCTTGTCGAAAAAGAGGATGGTCGGGCGTCGATCCTCGTCGGGAAAAATATGTGTCAGGGCCGCGTACACATCGGCACAGCCTTCCGTCTCCAAGAGGGGCACTATCCCGCACATGATCCCGCAAGATCAGCTCGCCGAAAGACCCCCCCAACTGCTCTTCTCTCCTACAATGGCACGGAGGTCATGTCCTCAGGCTATCATTGTTATCGGCACACACACGCACGCACTGACAAGGGAGGGTAGGTGTTTGTAATGGTATCGATAAATCTGGCAAAATCCGCCTGCTGCCATGCGCGCCGGAGTCGTTCAAGTACATTCGATACGCGACGCTCAAAATAGGTCAAACCCAAAGCCCGCTTGGCAGGTTGGCTTCAACCGCAGGCCTTACCACAGTGTGTTTTCGCAGTACATGGTGATGTTCACCCTCAACTGATGTTGGTATGCGGACGTTCTGTCTCATTTCCGTTCGGTGTGACAAAATATGTTCTCGTCGGCTGCCGGAAACATTCTGTCCTCGCCTGAGAACCCATCTCGAAGGGTGAATCCCGGCCGGAACGGGCCTTTTGTCCTGTAGCTGTCGTGGGGGTTTGAGTGGATTGTAGGGTAACATAGCTTGCTTTTTTGAAGGAAGTACCTGGAGTGGGGTATTTCTCGCCCGTGAGACAGAGGGACAGTCGATGCGAAAGGCACGCCCCTCGCGCGAGAGTACTTCAGTTTTGAACGTGCACACATCACCTACGCGAGTACCTCTCAAATTTTTCTTGCTAAAGCAAAAACGGCACCCCTATTGGAGCGGGCGTTTCCAAAAAACGCAATCAATAGCAAAGACGACACGTGAACATGAGACGGAACTATTGGGGGCTGGAGGAACAGTTTTTGGGCTTCTGCAACACGGGTCAGACGAAGGAGGAAGACCCCAACAAGCCCTGGATCTTGGAAGAAGTCCAGAGCCCCCCCCTTAAAAACTCTTCTTTTGACTCACTNCGCAATCAATAGCAAAGACGACACGTGAACATGAGACGGAACTATTGGGGGCTGGAGGAACAGTTTTTGGGCTTCTGCAACACGGGTCAGACGAAGGAGGAAGACCCCAACAAGCCCTGGACCTTGGAAGAAGTCCAGAGCCCCCCCCTTAAAAACTCTTCTTTCGACTCACGAGGAAATACATAGTTGAGAAGTCCTCCCGAGCCTGTGGTGATGTAAACACATTATCCTGTCAGTAACCATCGCAGAGTATGACACCGCCACGATGGTTGCTTATGCAGAAACCCCACAACTACAAATGTTTCGTCGTAAATGGCTGTTCCGTCCTAAAGGGGGGGGCGTAGCATTCGTTGAATCCTACTACACCTCCTGGTTCAAGAAGCGCGCTCGCTGTGCAGCAGTGCACGTAGCTTCCCGGTTCCTTCTGTTGAACTCGTCCTCCTCCGCCTTGTGTGCTGTGCACGTTAGCCTGTTGTCCTCGCGACTGTTTCCGCAGGGCGGTTGCGCGACCCAGAACGCGCATTTGTGCCCGTGTACAGCAGCGTGGTATCTGCATTGAATGACCACGAAAGACCACGGTGTTTCTTGTGTTTGGTTGTCTTGCTTCGATTCGTAGTTTGTGCTGGTTGTCGGTTGACTTATCTCGCAATGCATGGAAAACGTAGCTGGTAAGGTTCGGTATGATGTTGGTGGGTGTCTGTGTCACGAAAACCTCGATCATTGACCTAGCGTCGTACAAGCGGTACGCGTTACTATCCCGGAAAGCTAATGGACAGCGCAGCTGCCATCGTTTTTCCTAATACCGATACGTCGATTAACGCGTGTCCCAGCTTCCGTAATGAACTTGGGCATCATTCTACCACTCAGTTAGTGCTAGCCACACGTTTCGAACGTTAGTTATGCTGACGATGCACGAATACGTCCAGACTATTTAAGTGATAAGGGCNTTGGGCATCATTCTACCACTCAGTTAGTGCTAGCCACACGTTTCGAACGTCAGTTATGCTGACAATGCACGAATACGTCCAGACTATTTAAGTGATAAGGGCTTGGGAGAGAGGGACGCTAGTAGGGAAACGTGCTCAACCGTGTCTTCGCTCAACACGAAGTTACAACGTATCTCTGCATGGTGTGGAGCCCTTCAATGTCATGGTCGCACTTGTAGAAAGAGAACTGGCGTGTGATGATGCGGGAAGTTTCAAGGAGAGGGTGGGGTCAAGTTCTTTTTAGTGGAATCAAGAGGCGTCGCCACGACGTTGACTGTTGAACTGTGCATTAGCCGGGCAAGCAGGACAACTTGCGGGAACCATGTGACAGCAAAGTAGTGTGTATACAGGGACCTTCGTGTAACACCTATCGGCCCCACC